TCGTGTTGCTATTGTGTGATCAGATGGTCAGAGGAGGCCTCTGGTAAGGTAAAAGTTGTGTTTTTTTTTTAATAGTTTTATTGGTGAGTTAAAGTTTGAGCAGAGGCCTGAGGAAATAAGCAAGTGACACACGTGGGCAAGCAGGGGAGAGATTTTTCTAGGCAGGCAGAGGGAATAAGCAGGCCCTCCTCCAGGAGCCTGGCCTGGGTCTTAGACAAGCTGTATGATGCGGTCCCTCCAGGTCTCTAAGCCTCAGTTATCTACTCTGGGTAATGGGGATAAGGATAGATCTGAGTGCCTGTGACGGGCATGGCCCTGGCCTGGCGCTGAGGAAACTCATTACACCGCTGCTGTGAGGACGCCAATGATGACAGCCCTCCGGCCAGCTGGGGCATCAGCTACGCACAATGCACATCCTGAGCAGCCGCTCCCAGCCAGCCCGTTACTATGCTCCGGGAACCCGAGAGCAGAGATAAAGCCTGGGGTAGAGCCATTCATTTGGGGAGGGGGCGCAGTTTGCAAATGCCTGCCTAGGGGGTGCCATCATGGCTGGGTTGTTTTTCCTAATGAGGATAGTGAAGCTTCTTGTGAAAATCAGGCTTTACACAGTGTTTGAAAGCTTCTGACCATCCTCCCACCCAGAGGTAACCACTACTATAGTTCAGTGTTTCTTCTCTGTTTTTTCACATGAATGCATTTTTTACAGAAGCGGGATCACACCACATTCCCTGTACTGCTGCACCACTGATGTCACACCAGCAGCCCCGAGTCTGTCGGGAACGTAGGAAGACAGGCCCCACCGTGACCTGCTCGGTCACAACCTGGATCTAAGGAGAACCCAGTGCCCAGCAGACTCCTGTGCGTGGCACCACGGGAGGCGCTCTGCTGGCCTCGCTGTGTGCAGCTCTTTCCGCAGCTGAAGAACAGCTAGAACGGCCCTGTTCCTCGTTCACGGCTGCGTAGTTTCTCACTGTTTCTCCCTCCTCTGCTCAGAATGGTTGTGTTGAGTTGGAAGAATCCATGAATAAAATGCCACGGTAGGGTGTAGAGGTGGCTGATGTTCTGGGCAGAGGAACCAGCATAAGCAAAGCCGGGAATCAGAAAGGAAGTGACCCTGAGATGCACCCTGGCCTCGTTCCCCTGAGCTGTGGGTGAGGCCTGAAGGATCGCAGACGGTCTCTCCAAGCACCGAGCAGCTGGGCCCCGGGGGCCATGAATTCAATGGGTCACAACGGCTTGGAGTCTCCTGTGAGCGCCCAAGGGGAGAATTCTCTCTGGAGCTCCTGCAGCTTTACCATCAACGGTGCTGGCAGGTTAACACCAGGCAGGTTGGCTGGGCCCTTCCTCCTGGCCAATTCCTGCCTGGGAGACCCACCCTCAGGAGGGAAGAGTTCTTCTCAGCTCCTTTTGACAGATGAGGAAACCGAGGCACAAGGAGGCAATGAGGAGTGAGTCTAGAGTCATCCCTTCATTCCTTTGCTCACTCATGTAACCGACCTTCCCCAGGCAACCGCGATGTGAGGCGCTCTGAGCTGGGTCCCAAGGACACGGGCCCAGTCAGCAGCTGCTTCCTGCCACCCGGGGCACGTACCACTAGCACGGGCAGATGTAATGCCGGGTAAGGAGGTGGCAGGTGACAGACAATGACACCGTGATCAAGAGCCGATTGGGAAGTGGGGAAACGGTGACAATAGCCACCACCCCGGGCAGGTGCTCGATGAGGAAACTGGGGAAACCCTAATGCCACCCAAGGCTCCAATCGATGGAGACGTTCACCCTACCCTTGAACGGGGACACTCAGGGGGACGGTGCCAGCTCTTCTCCACCCGAAACACACTTCCCGTCCCACCAGCAGAGAGTCTGAGGGGGGAGGAGAAGATGGACACAATCATTCTATAGTTTATCTGAAAAAAAAAGTACAAGATTGAGAATTGGCAAGACATTCTTTATAAAGCATCATAATGTCAGGCGCTCGTGTTGTCAAGCATTAGGATATATTCCCAAACTGTAATAGTCACACTACGTGCCATCGAGGAGACAGGCGGACCCCTGGAGCAGAGTAGGTCTGGACATAGATCCCCACGAGCAGGGCTTATTTCCTGATAAAGATGTGTCTCAAATGAGAGGCAAGGAAAAGGCTTCGGGCTGATGCTGTCGCCTCAGACTTCACTTGGGATGCACAGAGGTGGGGCCTCTCGTCCCCCCCCCCCCCCAAAAACCCTTCCAGTGGGGCCTTTGCCTGCAATGGGATTCATTACAACACGCGTCTAGCCCCAAACTGTCCCCAGAGCTTTCCTATCCACTATCCCGTCTGGTCTTCAAGGAGGCGGCACAGGGTCACATGCATTCTTGAAAACGCTCCCTCCTTCCCCACGAGTCATTCAAACCAATCACAGCAAATTAGGGGGGGGGCAGAGAAAGGGAAAAAACACCCGCGAGTCCACTACACAATATATTTATTCTTTCCAAACCGGGATCATAATGTGTATGTGGTTTTGTCACCTATTGAGTTCACTTCACATCGTATTGGGAGTGTTTAAGTAGCCTTTGAAAACACAAAGTCTGATGGCTGCATGCTCTTCCTTAAGAAGCAGATGCCATGCCCTGGCCGGTGGCTCAGGTGGTTAGAGCTTCATCCCAATACACCAAGGCTGTGGGTTCCATTCCCAGACAGGGCACACACAAGGATCAACCAAGGAATGCAGAAATAGGTGGAACAACAAACCAGTGTTTCTCTCTCTTTCTCTCTCTTCCTCTCTCTCAAATTAATAAATAAAAAATTTGAAGAAGAAAAAAAAGCAGACACCATGATTAATTTAGTTGTTCTCCTAACGTTGGTGATTTCCCAGACAGCTACTGCAAATGATGTTCCTGCAAAGGACCCGCTGGTTTGAAGAACTCCCCTTTCTATTATTTCCTTGGACTAGATTCCCCCAAGTCACCAGGCAAAGGGCAGAACACCTTCGTGTCTCGATGGAGACTTTGCCAATGGCTTTCCAGAAAGCAGGAAACACAGGCAGCCGGCGCTGTCTCCCCCGCTTCACCCCTCACCAGCATGAGCATTATTTTCAGTGGTTTTCTTTCTTTCTCTCTTTTTTTACTTTGGCAATTTGCTAGACTCACTCGGTGCCAGGTGCCAGTGCTAAGCATTATGTAACCCCCCTCCCCCACCCCAGAGTGGGAACATCCATTTTCTAGGGGAAGAAGCGGGCGCAGAGAGGACTCCCCCGGTGGCCAGGGTCGCCGAGGCCCAGGCAGTGAGCCCCGATTCAAGCCCGGGCGTCTCCAACGCTCGCGCCCAGATCAGGTGTCAGCGCGCTTGCACCGGGTGGGCAGCCAGGGCGGTCTCCACGCGCCTCTCCCCTCCCTGCCAGGGCCCGGGTTTTCTAATCGGAGAGTACGTAATGCTGTGGCACCTTCCCTAGCGCTCCCGGCCCTTCAGGGGTAAAGCCCAACCCCCCAGGCCCACCTTCCAAGCCACCCGCCTCCAGGTTGCCGCTTCACTCAGTGGCGCGATGTCTCCCAGACCCGGCCTGGCCCGCGCGCTCTCGCGACCCTAAGTCCAGGCGGAGTTAGGCACCTGTGCGGGCCCCCGCCCCGCGGGGTTGCGGTAGGGCGGGTCTTGAGCCTTAGGCATCACCTGTCACCTGATGAAGACGGCTAGGCACCGAGGTCTCTCCTTGGACGCGCGGGGCGGCCCCAGGTCTGCGCGTAAACCCGCTGAGCACCAGCAGCGGGAACCGGGGTTGCTTCTGAGTAACCTCCGGTTGTTGGGCTCAGTGACTCCGTCTAGGGACGGAGGGGAGGGGCGTAGGGACGGGGACAGAGCCGTAAAGAATCCCTCCCGGCAGGACCGTTTCAGGGCCAGGATGAGTTTTTATCATTAAACTCAGCCCTCCTCCCGCGCCCCCGAGTCAACACTTCCCAATGGACAGCGGCTGGTTGGACAGTGGGCACATGCCTTCCCCGGGCTGCGCCGCTCGCCCCCTTCGGCTCCCGAATGTCCAGCCGTCG